AAACTGTGGCTTGCTGGGACCCAGGGCTTGAATCCTACATGTATCTGGAGAAGGATAATGCCAAGAGATGCAGGCAACCCCCACTTCACAATGTTTCACTATAACGCTCATTTTAAATTGATACCTAATTTCACTTAGCACTCACAAAGTTTCACTATAACGCTCACGGTCACCATCTTGGGTCGTTAAAAATACTGTGGTTGCCATCTTGGGGCGTCAAATACTTTTGTTTCTGTTTAATGCTCGTTTCACTTAATGCTCAGTTTTTCAGGAACCAATTAAGAGCTCTAAGTGGGGGTTGCCTGTATGGGTGACAGGGAATCAATTATGGCAGGAATTATGTCCATCTTATGCCTTTTCCTCTTGTATTTCAATTTAGTGATAGAGTAGCACACATGCTGAGCGGTGATTTGAGGCATCCCATTCTGTACAACATGGTCAAATGTTAATTTGAAACCCAAAAGGCCAAAAATGGCAAGAGGATAAAATGGGTGGCAAGTCAGCCATTGGTGGTCACTCATTTTGGCAGACAATCACAGTCTGAATTAGTGCAAGCAGCAGTACTTCTGACCAAGGAAGGAAAAGAAAGGAAACAAACTTATGTTTTAGTGGCCTGTAGTAACACTGACAGAAGTGGATAGACAGGAGTTTGGGTTCTGTCCAGCCCTCTGCTGGAGACTTCTCCAGACCCTTTGTGAATTACAGACTCACTTATTAAGTATATGTCCTGTGAAGAATACTTAGTCCTTAGGTTTAGCAACTGTTTTTCAGCATGACGTGTTTGGCAGCTTGCAAGAACTGCTCAAAGTATGCATAGAATAAGGCAGCAGTCCTGTGAAAAAAATTGCATCTTGCTGAAGTAAATAAAGACTGTTTCATAAAGCATACTCACAAAAAAGCCAAGCTAGGTTGTACAGGGGACCTTAATTCTGGCATTCCTACTTTGAGTGCTTAACTTTGCAACCTTAGTAATATGATTTTAACATCCCTTTTAAATATGTACTTTCTTGGGTTTTTGAACAAAAAACTAAAAAGAAAACAAAATCCATGCATGGAATCCTAGTTATGCTACATAGGTCATTGGCAGGAACTTTTCTATGTAGTGCACTGACTTTTGCCCCTTGAGCTAATGCAGTAACTCAGTGATGCCCAAACTTTTGGCCCCATGGGCCAGATGAGTAATACAGGGTGAGTCCATGGGCTGGATCCAATCCATGGGCCTGATCTGGCACGCATGCAGCCAGGGTACAATCTGGCATGCTAGTCCTGCATACCATACTGTGGCTGCGGCCATGGCCCTGCTCACATCCGATTAGGCCCTTAAGCCCCGGCCTACCGACACCAGATCAGACCCATTGCCCTGACCCCAGCACCAGCCCCATGTGTACCAGATCAAGCCCACTGCCTCAACTCTGGTCCTGTGTGCACCAAATCAGGCCCCTTGACCTGTCCTCATACCCAGTCCAGTTCTTCCCCATAGCCAAACTCCTTATCAGATCTTTCTCTCTCTGTCTGTCTAGACCTTCCTTTCTACACCTCTCTAGACCTGGCGAAAAACATCTTGCTTTCAAAAGTTTGTCTAACTTTATCCCAATTACATATTTGGTCCACTAAAAGATATCACCCTAAGAAATTCTTGCCTCACATAATTTCTATACCATCATAGCTACAACATCACTCTTGACAGTACTCTTTATGCCTTTCTTAGGCCATCCCACTGGTTCCCAGTTCCTATCTCTGGCCAGCCAGTGCTAATCTCATCCCTGACTCCTTTCCAACACAATCTCTCTCCCCTTCCACTTGTTGCTCGTTCAGTTCCAAACTGCTCTCCTCCACCCTGGCCCCAGGTTTAATCGGGCATTTGCCTTCTCTCAGCAGTAGCATTAGTAGTGTGGGAAGGGAGATTCAGAGCACAGGAAATAGAGGTTCCTTATTCCTAGTTCTGGTGCTTGGCCCACAGCAGTTCAGATGTGCAGTCATAACTGCTGATCAGACCAAGTTGGACCACACTAGGTGTGAATGAGGTATTTTGAAAATTTTGCTGTGAAGTTCTAGTAATTTTTACTGATCTGAATATAACATATTTACTCAAATATAAGATGACCCTGAATATAAGATGACCTTACCAATAATTAGATTCTATGTCTGAAAAAATTATAAATCTGTTATAATTTGTTATCATTTTTCAGGTATAGAATCTAAGTATTGGAGTTTTGTCTTAAATTGATCCCTCTCTCTCTGCTACAGCAGGGAAAATAAATCTGGGAAATCAGGTGGACCCCTTGTCCTCTGCCCCTCCAAACTTCTTCCCCCTGCAGCCTCTTCCACCCACCCTTACTGTCAGACCCTGCTTTCCGTGAGCACATAGAAGTGAGGGGAAAATTTGAAAATTCTGACTTTGAAGACTGAAATAAACATGCCTGTAGTAAATTAATTCATTCAGAATTGATGCATTTTACCTTTTTCGAAACTGCTGCAGGTTTTAGCACAAGGACTCCATAAACACACTTTCAAGCAGCACTTTCATACTTATATATAGTACAAACTTTTTTTTTTAAGGAAAATGTTTTGTCCCCCAAGTCAAATCAGCCAAATCAATTCCAATTCCATCAGTCATTCAAGAACCATCAGTGGTCCTACTACTGGCAAACATCTTCCACCACCACCTGGGGCTTCAGATGCTTCTAAATCTTTTGGCAGGCATCCTATGTACAGGCCCAAGCCTGGAGACTTGGGGTTCAGATGCCCCCAAGTTTGGCTTGCCCTTAGCCATATGGCCACAGAAGCAAGCTAGGGAAAAGTCTCCTATTTCTATAAAGCTGGCATAAAACCAAGTTTTTCCCATTGAAAGTGAAAATGGGAAGCTAACTATGCCATACCTCAGCCAAGATACTAGCTCTTACCTAGAAAGTAGTTTTCCCTTGCAACTAGGAAAACCATGTGTATAGTCATGGTATTTTTCCTACCAAGTAAGTATTTCTCAGTACAAACCATACCTTATATCAATCCAAAGCCAAAAGGCTCATGATTTACCATAGGGTTCGCTGGCCTGGGCCCCAGCAGAGTCAAAAGCATTTCAAGCCATGGTGATCCCGTAGCTCAGCACTACTCAGTATGTGTGTGTACTTCAGATACATCCCCACAAAGGATCCATCTGCTAATTAGCTCCCCACTTATGACTGAAAGTGGGGGTCCTTGTGAGGAGTCTTGGGATGCTCCAAAAATTTATATGCAGATGAGGCGCAGGGCATCCTGGTTCAGCTCCACCTCATGGAGGGCAGGGGCACATATGCAACAGGTTGAGAGAGGAAGCAACAGAGGGGTTTTGGGTGAACTGTTTGGGGCCCTGTTTAGTGAAGTTTGCTCACATTTAAGGTTGATGAAGAAACAGGAATAATTGGAAAGGGGAAAGAAAGTTGCAGCTCAGCCGTGGAAGTAAAGAGGAAGTTGAAATGTATTCAGTGTAGTTGCTCATCATGATTTGAGTCAACGCTGGGGGGACTGAACACAAGAGCACTACTATATAGCTTATTCAGATGGGTTGTACTATAACCTATTCTTGTGGTAGGTTAACATTAGAATGTTTGTCAGTATGGGCCATGTGTTTTATAATCATGCTCAGTGTTGGCTGTATTTAATCAGCTTTATAGTTGGTTTCTATTACTGAGCACATGCTGCTTTTGGCAGCAGTTTAAGGATAGACAATGTATTTAATGAGGTTTCCTTGTATGTGAATATAAGATGAGGAGCCTTTTCCCCATGCTGATTGGGGGAAAAAAAACTTGTCTTATATTTGAATAAATATGGGTATATAGATTGTCATTTTTTTCAAAGTCACATAACTTGCTTAAATTTTTGGATGGCAAAAGAGATACCACTGACGCAAGGCTCTCCCTATTCCCATGTTTTGATCCCTTACTGACATAAAACAGCAGAAGTCCATTATGAGCATTACTATTAATACTTCACATAGTGCCTAATTGTTACAAGCGTACTAACCGTAACCATTCCTCTGTAGAGAAGTGAAAAGGTGATCTGGGTCCAATATATCTGCCCTCTCAAACCGTCTTAATTCTACTATCTACTACAGCCTGCAGTTTTCTCTCAAAATGACTTTGGTGTCCCTGTAAATTGGAGACACTAATGTCCTCAGAGGTGTTTCATAATTCCTTTCCCTTTTGAGAAACTTTGTGCTTAACCATCTCTTCGTGGGGCAGTAAGCCAGTAGTGTATGTAGCAGCTTTTGTTCACCCACTGTTTCTTGACTCATGCTATTAGCTGCTAATCTCTGGTGTGGAGCCTTGTGAAATGCCTTTTAAAAATCTAAAAATACAACCTTCCCTGCCTTTGCCTTATCTGTCATGACAATGAGTATCTTCAAAGAACTCCATCAGGTTGGTTAAGCAAGACTTCCCAGCCCTGGTTGCATGTAGGCTGTCCTTAATCAAACTCTTGTCTAGGGGTTCTCTTTACCAAATCCCTGAAGATAGTTTCCAAGGGTTTCTCCACAACAAATATTAAACTTACTGGCTGAAAGGCCCTTGTTTTTTATTTGTGTTTTATGTGTCACTTTTTGGGCTGTCTCCAAAATTTAAAGATATTAAAAATAATATCAAACGTCAAGATTTACTAGTTTCTTTGTTTATGCCACCTTTGTGTTATCTGTGCTATCACCACTGCAAAATTTATCCCTGCTTCAAGCAAATGTCATTCCTCTTTATGGACATAAAAACAAAGCATTGCTTAATGGTTCCTGCTTTTTAATCTCCCAAATAAAGTTTTTGCTCCCATTTTCAGTTGTGCCCTGGAGTTTCTGTTATCATTTATCTATTGCAAATAAATTTGGTGAATTCTTTAATGATGTACTGTTGTTTTGTTTTATGTCTTTACTACATGCTAGATCCTCTTGAAACATCAAAGGCTCATGTCTCTGAAATTTGCTACATGTTTTTGTGCCAGTGAGCAGTTTGCTAACAGGAACATGACACACTGTTTTGCAGATTATGTCTCCTTGTTCAAGATGTCTGCGGAATTTTCAGTGAAGTCCAGTTCCAGGTCCCATGTTCTACAGACGGGATTGAACAAAATAGCAGGAGATGGGAAGGGAAATCCTACTGCCTAGCTAGAATGAAAATTTTGCAGAGAACCACAAGAGGAAGGTGAGAACAGTTCCTTAGGAAAATATCCTGCATGCTGTGGCAGAGATGATTCCTCATTTTGTTTAGTTCAAGCAGTCAATATTCTTTGGAGCAACCAAAGCAGAGTTTGATTCAGTATTTCTAATTACCATGAGCAGAGCATCATGACAGCAGCGTAGCTTGAATCCAGTTAAACAAAGTAATACTTGAACAGCCATTCCTCTAAACAAATGTAAACAAGTTTGGGTAAAAATACAGAGTGGAAAAGGAAGAGAGAGCTGACATTGCTCATTGTTGCTGACATTGTGAATGTTTCCTTCCTTTCTAGTGAGATTGAAACTCTCTTCAGAAACCTATGTAAAGGCCCTTCAAGTAATGTAGTCAGTTTCCCTTCAGTTACAAAGAATGTAGGATTGCTTTCTGTATTGTTTTCTTCTGAAGCACTGCTCAATCTGATTTCAGATATCTCAAGCAGTGGGGTTTCTCTCAGTATGATGCATCTTTTACAGCTTATCTTGCATTGCTTGCTTTCAAAGCAATTTAAGATAAAGTGGAAAATAGAAAAAATCTCTTATTTCAGAATAAGATCATCCACTGCCTATTGGTTTAACTATACCCATGTAATTATACCAGTACAACGTATAAAACTTTTCTGTTTAGGTTAGTCATAAGAAAAGACTGTCATAAACCATCTGGATTACGAAGTTAACGTACAGTACTAAGTGTAGTTTTATTAAGACCCCTGCCAGATGTTCAGGTAAAGGCATGATGAGATCTGATGCACAATTTCCTGCCTTGCCACTTATGCATGGCAGAAGGTGAGACTGTAGGATCAAAAATTAGATCCCATCATGCCTTACTGCTGGTACCAGGGGAGCCCAGGCTCACAATCCAGGGCTCCCCCTGCAGCAGCAACTATCAAACTCCCCTCAGCTGATCCAGGCTCCCAGCCATGGGGGTGCACCGTGTGCTTATGCATTGGGAGCTCTGTTAGCTGGTCCAGTTAATCACTGCTTAACTGGTTAATCACAACTTAAGTGTAACATGTGGCAGGGGCCTAACTCAATTTTTTATTATATATTTTATATGACATTTAGTTTATATTGGCATAACTGTTCCGTGCAGACAAGCCTTCCATATTAGAATGGTCAGAATATTATTGCTGAAACTTTTTTCTGACTTAAAAATGGTTTCAACAAGCTGAAATGCTTCCTAGATATATATCCAGTTTAAAATAGTTTTGCTATGAAGATTTCTTAGACCCAGGATATGAGACGGAGTCTCTATTTCATGAAAACTTTTGAAAGTTCTTGTTGTGTTTCACAGTGGAACAAAAACAGATTTTGAAACACTGAAATATTTTGCAAAATGGAATTATTGTTTTCCAGCCAACCTATTTAGTATATCTTGTTTCACATGTACATAAAGCATCCTTTTGTTGCGCTAATTTGGATTTTTATGCATCTTTAATAGCAAACACTTTTTATTGTTTGCTTATTTTGTTTTTTCTAGGAGTTATATTTTTTCCCCCAAATAAATTAAGTAATGACTTTGGAACTTTGTATACAAATGGAGTTTTACAGCTAGCTATTCATGATTCATAGTGCTCTGCCTAGTAAATAGGAGTCAAGCTTTTTCTCATTTAAATTCTGTTTACAGCAGCAGTAGCTCACATGCTGCTTTTCTGAGGAAGATTTTGCTATGCAGTTTTTAAAATGCTGATAGCTGGACCAGTGTGACCAGTGGTGAAGTTACACTAGTGGTAATGCTGCTAGGAGATGTTAAAGGAAAAACACTTGTGGAGATGCAAGGATATTCATTGTGGTTAAAACAAGGTTTCCCTATCCTGTGCGGGCATGGGGAGGGTACTGATTTTGTTTATTTGGAATTTTTAAATTCTTTTTACAACTGCTAGTTTGTATTAGGCTTTATACTAATCATTATTTTTTAACACTGTTGGGATATTTCTGTATTCTCTTAAGTGTGCAAACTGTGGCAAAGCCATGTTTGCCAACAATTTTAAACATTGTTATGAGACATGGGCTGTGTCTGTGCTTAAGGGGGAAAAAAATCAAAGTTTCCCACTGTTGCATTATTGATACCAGTAAAGCTTTGCTGATGGCAGCAGGCAGACAGTAACTCTCAGCCAGGCACCTTTACAAGGAAACCAGCACTGTAATATATAAATGTAGGGTTACCACATGTCTGGGTTTTCCCCAGACATGTCCTCTTTTTTGGGCCCCTTTGCTGTGTTTGGGTAGGTTTTTTAAATAAAAGCAAATGTCCGGGTTTTTTGCTGTTCCCTCTGCTCTCCCTCTGCTGGCTGCTTAGGACTGGGAGCAGCGGGCAACGTGATTGGCTGTCGCAGGTCACATGTTCGCAGCGTGGGGGCTGGCAAGCCAGGTAAAGAGACTGTGTGTGTGTGTGTGTGTGTGTGTGTGTGTGTGTGTGTGTGTGTGTGTGTACACGTGCTGCTTGGGCAGCAGGGCTGGGGGAACAGGTGCTGTGGGTCAGGAGTGAGGGGCACCAGCAGGGATGTAGGGGCAGAGGCTGCGGGTCAGGAGTAAGAGGCAATGGCACGGCTGGGGCTGGCAGAGGGCTGTGGGGCCAGAGTGCAGGTCTTGGGCAGGGCTGGGGGGCAGGGGTCTGCAGGTCGGGAGTGAGGGGTACCAGCAGGGTTGAGGTGGTAGGGGGCTATGGGTCCAAAGTGTGGGGCACCAGCAGGGCTGGGGGGCAGAGGGCTGTGGGTTGGGAGTGAGGGGGGGCTGGCAGAGCTGTGGGAGCAGGTCTTAGAAGTGAGGGGAAAAAGCAAGGCATGGGCATATCACTGCCCCTAAAAATCATATATCCCCCCATCCTATTTTTTGCTGCTGGAAATATGGTAACCCTATAATTAATTAGTTTTTGATATTGGATGCCACTCAATTCAAAAAAGTAATGGAAGGGTGCCTCAAGTCTAATGAGCAGGGATCCGGGTTTTCTGTTTCCCATGGAACAATGGAGAAAAATGTGTAGCCCAGGTGTACTTGGGTATATACTCTCCTTCCCCAACTGAAGTTGAATTGTTAGCTGGCTGGTGTGCTGTGGGGGAACTGTAGACTGCTCAGTTTCCCTCTGTCCCTATAGAGCCAGGCCAGGAGTCAGGGGACTTAACTGTATACACATGTATTTACATTAATTTATAACAAGGAAAAGAAACATGGATTTAAACATATGTACTATATATACCCTCTGGGTAAATGCTATAAAACCTTATACCAGTGCTTCAGATACAGGCAGGTCACAGGTAAGTATCTGGTCTGAAATAGATAAACCCCAAAATAAACATAGATAGGCAACAGATAAACTATAGGTAAGTATAGGTGAACAATAAATAAGCCACAAATAAATACAAATAAACAACAGGTGAAATAATAGCAAAGTGGGTCCCAGCAGAGCCCTAGGACTCTACTCATCTACTAATTTACAACATGAGAGTTCACAAAATATAAGGCTTGACGTCACACCACTAATGGCACAAGAACCCCAAAGATAAACTTAATCCCAAGAGGAAACCCCAATACCCTTGGGCTTTTTCCCAAGCCCTTCATGGAAGCTGGTAACTTCAGAGGGGCTCTCCCAGAGGGAGTTCCACTTTCAGGAGTCCTTAACTAACCAGGGGGACTCCTCCTCCCCTGTGGGAATCCTTTTTCCCTGCAACTCATGACTCCCAGACCTGGAGGGTGGCCCTCGTCCTCTGTGCCGAGCTGCTCTTTCTCTCCTGCAGTGGGCTTTGGGGGGTTGCTGTCCCTTGGAACAGGGCTCTGCTATGCAGGGCTTCTGGGGCCTCTGGCTCGGCCCTGTCTGCTGGCTCAATAGCCTGAGCACCGTCTGGCTCCCTGAACTCAACTTTTTGTTATAGGTTGGAGGCCCGGGCCGCCTCATGCAGCACCAGGCACGGTCCGCTCCCAGACTCTCCATGCAGTGCCTCCTGCACTGAGCTCCCAGCCTTGTGCTGGGGCTTGGGGACTTGAACTGCCCAAGCGCTTCAAAGATCCTGCTCCATGCACTGGCCTGTGTGCTGTGTCTTTAGCCTCATGCCAGAGGTTGCAGACCCGAGCCGCCTCACACAGCTCCCAGGGTCTGGACACCGTGCACTGTGCTGCACGCCGAGAGCCTAGCCGCTGGAGCTGTCTGCTGTTCCCCGCCAATGGAAGTCTTCAGGGGTGCTTCCGGGCTACTGCTTCACCCTGCTGAGAAGCTCTCCTCAGCTCTTCTGAACCCTGCTCTTCTCTCTTCTCTATCCTGGATGTGTCTCTCTCGTGCTGGGCATGCAGGTCCTTTTATACTCTTAAGGGCTCCACCTCTGAAGTCTTCTAGACCTGAGAGTGTTGCAGTCTACAGTCAGGTCCAGGGGGAGCTCCTCTCCCCCTCCCCTCAGGAAAGGGGCGGGACTTAACCACCAATCAAAACAACAAAATCTCAAGCCTGGGACTCAACCCAAGCTCCTAATGGCAAGCCTGCTACAAATGCAGTTTTCCCTCTTTACCCAAGGAAAATGCAGATTTCTCATTTTAATGGTGAAACGTGTTGATTTTGCACTTCGGTAAAGTGCTCTCTGCAGGCTGGCAGAGTTTCAGCCTGAAAGAGGCTGTGGGCAGTGGGAGGAAGGTGGTTAGGCAGGATTTCAGTGTACAAAGCTGAAGTTCATCATTAACAAAGCTGTCCAAAACGCTAGGAAGAATCTGAAGGAGAAGAATCTAACGCAGAGGTTCTGAACACAAGACACCTTGCTAGACTCAAGGCATACCTCTGAAAATGCCAGCTCTACATTTTCACACTTTTTTAACTACAGAAAAATAACACAGCAATTATTTTGTTGCAAAGAAATCATAAAGATTATGACAGGTCATAATGTTTTTAACACTATGGATTTCCATTTGAAATCTCTGTGTTCATTTTGTGAATCATGTTTGCACACCTAACAGTGCTAACATTGTGTGCTATGATAGTGTTATGAAAACTCTGTAGCACCCTTGAAA